AAAAAAAAAGAAAAGAAAGAAGAAAATACCTCAGGAAAAAGCCATCAGTGTGCTCAGCATAAATTCATCATCATTTAACTTACTGAGCTAATACAGTTTTTTTCGATAGCTATTAATATATACATAAATGTGATGGCCACTTAACACTGTGTTGAGATTTAAAAAATACTTCATCAAAAATTACAAAAGGATGCATACTAAATTGTTTAACAGCATTTATATTTAAGGAGTAGGTTTGGGGAAAGGAGGCATATTCATTTATTTCTTTACAGAGAGTCTATACTGTTCATCTTTGTAAAATTGAGTTGCATTAATTTTGTAATAAAAGAAAGTTTGGAGACTGTAACTCTAAAAAAGAAAAGAAATGGCCACCAATTATAGGGGCTACTGAATAAATGAGGCAAAGGATAGGATGATTTTGAGGGTGGGAGGACAGTCTAGGGCGGCATGGAGGAATTCCTGGTACAGTCCTGCATGCAAGAAGATGGGGAAATGTGTGTGAGGGTGGAGTCTAGGGAAATCTACGTGTTACCCATAGGCTTGAGAGACTTAGTCAATTTTCTCCAATCTCTGTTCTGCAAACTACCAGTGGATTTGTTGTGTCATCTCGGGTGCATAGCACAGGAGTGAGTAAGAAGTTTGTCCTTTCTATAACAGCATGGTGTTAGATAAGAGAACTAATTTAGATGTATGTTTGCTCTTGTCATTAACTAGTTTGGAGACCTTAATTAGGTCCACTGAGGGGGTCTACATAAGGTACTATGGCTGTCTAAGAGAAGTTAAACATCTGTCTTGTGTAAGGAATATTTTCTTTTAAATTTTAATGGGCTGTCTCTTGTAGGTAGCAAAGGCCTGGGTCAGGAATGACATTGCAAATCAAATTGTCTAATGCTTGGAGGCCTGGTTAGTAGCTAGGGAGATGAGCTCTTCCTAAAAGCTTTCTCTTCTTTCTCCTGACCCACTAAACTGTAAGTTCCATATGAACGACAACCATATCCTCTACCCTAGTACAATACCTGGAATATATAGCAGCTACCCAATAATTAGCTGAATGAATGCATTTACAAATGATCTGAGCTAAGAATGGTTTTTATAAGATTTTGGTACTGACCACCAGGCGGCTCTCATTTTCCCAAATCGCAATAGCTTCGGGAAGCTAGACATTCTTTGAGGACCTTAAGGATTTTGATGTGTAGAAGGTACTTGCCCAGAATCACAGTATTAGTTTAGGACAGAGTCAGGGATAGAACCTAGCTCACGACATGAACAAATATGAAAAGTATGAAGGTAATATTCCTATTTCTCCAGGCATTAGCTCTAATGCAGCTCTTCATACTATAACCTGGCTGCATCTATTCTTTAAACTTGTACAGTAACAAACTTCATATGAATCTAAAATATTCAAACCACCGACAGGCTTTCTAGAGAACCAACCCCCCTCAGCAGCACTATAGCACATTCACTTATCAGGGCAAATACTTCCTGAGACCTCTGTCAGTTGGCAACTAAACTAATTCTTCCCATAACGTTTGTGATTTCTGCAGTTAGTCTCCAAGCGTGGTCCTCAAAACAGCAGGATCAGCATTACTTGGGAACTTGTTAGAAATGCAACTTAAGTTCCCTCTAGAACTGCCAAATCAGAAACTCAGTAATCCATGTTTTAACCAGCCCTCTAGGTAACTCTGATGCATGCTAAGCGACTCTCTCTGCTAGCAAAACCCCAGATTTTCCCAGTGAGGGACTATCAATGCTTAAGAATTAAATTTGCAAACTTTTCCCAAGATTAGTTATTTTAGAGGTTTAAGTAGTAATTTAGGCATAGTGGCTGCGAGGTGAAAGCCAGACATTCAAGGAATGTTCTGCTAAACTCTTGTTTTCCTCTGGCAGGAATTCCCAACCCTTTTCCCTTCTTTGTATCTTATAATCCCACAGGCCACTGGTTTAACCCCGACTGCAGACTGGAATCACTGGGGGAGCTCAAAAAGGCAAAGCACTAATAAAAAAACTCCATATCTGTGTCTCAAAGATTGATTCAGTAGGTCGGGGGTGGTACCTGGGCATCAATATTCAATGCTTTCCAGGTGGTTCTGTGGTCAGCATTGAGAACCACTTACAGGGATTGTAGAAGTGGACAATCACAGGAAAATTAAGTATGTTGTGTGTCGGGGGACCAGGGAAAGGGTAAGCATCTCACAGCAGGAGCTTCTAATATAAAGAAAACATGGAAGAACTAAAGGATTAAGCTTTATCTCTACAAAAAAAATCCTCCATTTTCAGAAAGTTATTATTTACATATCAGTCTAGTTAGTGGTTCTCAAGAGTGATCCAGAATTCCCTAGGGGTACCTGTGACTCTTTCAGGAGTCCAAGAGGTCAAAGCTATGTTCATAAGAACATTTGCTTTTTGGCTGGGTGTGGTGGCTCATGCCTGTAATCCCAGCACTTTGGGAGGCTGAGGGAGGTGGATCACGAGGTCAGGAGTTCAAGACCATTCTGGCCAACATAGTGAAACCTCATCTTTACTAAAAATACAAAAAATTAGCCAGGTATGGTGGTGTGCACCTGTAATCCCAGCTACTCTAGAGGCTGATGCAGGAGAATCCAGTGAACCCAGGAGGCGGAGGTTGCATTGAGCCGAGATCACGTCATTGCACTCCAGCCTGGGTGACAGTGCGAGAGTCCATCTCAAAAAAAAAAAAAAAAAGGAACATTAGCTTTTTTCACTTTCATTCTCTCATAAGATTACAGTGGAGTTTTCCAGAGGCTAAATGACATGATGTAATTGCTCTGATAGCTGATGGAATATGTGCTTGTTATTTTTGTCTTGAAAATGTTCCAGCTGCTAAAATGATAGGTATCTACAGATAAAGCCTAGAAAGATTAAAACCTTCTTGGGGATATTCAGTAAATTCAAATGTAAAGGGGTTCCTGAGACCAAAACGTTTGAGAATCTCTGGCCAGGATCAATGGACACAATCCAGTTTTTTTCTTAGACGTTAGGGTAAGAAAAGGCTGGCCTAATTTACCTCCTAAGCAGTTACAAAGTTGATAAACAATGAAGACTTAGCAGTTTCTTTCAAATATTGTAAATGGGAGAAATTAAGGGAAGCAAGTGCCTGTCTAGGTTATGAACCAAAGCATAAAATTAATTTGCACTTTTGATTTACTCCACAAACTGCTTACTAGAAAAGGGTTACGGGAACCCAGAAGTTCTAGAACAGGCTATAGTTCAAATGAAATGTGCAATGACTTAAGTCATTTCAAGTGGGAACTCCTCTGATTCCATATCCATTCATGAGCCCCAACAGATAGTATTTCCCTTCCCATCACCACACAATTACTTAGAGACACAAGCACAAGATTGTCATTCACTTTTCTGCATACTTTATTTGTTACAAACATACAATTTTTTTTAAATATAGACTGTAAAACTCCATTTGCAAAAGTCTATTGTAAGGAGTGCACACCAGCAGGAAGGATTCTTAAACTTTTTTCTCTGTGAGTTTTTCTGTCAGTTTTGCTAGTTAGTGGTAAATACGGGACCCGCCATTTTTACAGACCTGTCTGAAGCTTCTGACTGTATTCACATTGCTCTTTTGAAGCAGCTCTGCTCCTCTCAAAATTGATCAAATCTGAGCTTCAACCTACAGGCAATGAGATCAACAGCCCGTCTGGACTCTGCTTTTGAACGGTTTTCAGGAAGTGTGATTTTTGAATGGGTACTGCACTTCACAGATTTGTTTGAATTGCCCATGCAGCTCTATGTTTGTTAAAGTGCATTCTTCTTTAAAAAATAAGCAAGAGGAATAATCTTTACTCTTTAACCAAGGTACTTAAAAAAATGAACTTTTTGGTCTCTCAGCAGATATTCCCAAATTGATCCTATCACTACAAATTTTAGTGTTCTATTTACAAACATTTATAGGGTTACAGGTGGAGGGGACCTTATAAAATTAAAGGTGCAGCTTCTCTTGAAGCAGAAATCAGTTCTACAAATTCATACATAGGAACACACACTTGGTTTACAATGCATAAGCATGTGGGTATTTACACAGAGATTGAAGACATCCCCAAAAAACACATTTTAAAGTAATTTCCAACCTAAACTTTAATTGTACATCTAGATCAGGAAGCTGTCTCCTGCTATCAAGATTTGGTTTTAATTCATTCAAATTATTTCTGTAGATTTTCTACTGGCAGGACATCGGTCCCAGCTTTGGAGTGATAATCTAGTCTAAGGAAGCCACTGGTAGATTTATGATTGGCAGTGAAGATTCCTAGAGAACAAAAAGTATGTCATCTGGAAATATATCAGAAGACAAATGAATTTTTTAAAAAAGATCTTGGAAAAACATCTGCATGGAGGCCCAAAAGGAATAAATACCTAATATAATCGTTCTAGAACTTCAGAAAAAAGAAGTCCAAATACACTGATGATCTTAGTTACTACTCAAAGATTGATGTCATTGAAAAATAACTCAAATATACTTGTCTGCTACCGAAACATGCAAAATCAGTATGTCCCATACTGACTTCAAGCCAGTCTCTAGACTTTTTGCTCAACCTATTAAGAAATTCAGAGTGGGCTGGGCATGATGGCTCACACCTGTAATCTCAGCACTTTGGGAGGCTGAGGCAGGCAGATCACCTGAGGTCAGGAGTTCAAGACCAGCCTGGCCAACATGGTGAAACCCTGTCTGTACTAAAAAAAACAAAAAATTAGCTGGGTATGGTGGCACATGCTTGTAATTCCAGCTACTTGGGAAGCTGAGGCAGGAGAATCACTTGAACCTAGGAGGTGAAGGTTGCAGTGAGCTGAGATTGGGCCACTGCACTCACTCCAGCCTGGGCGAGCGAAACTCCATCTCAATTTAAAAAAAAATCCAGTATCTTATCAGTTCAAAATGAAACTCCCAAATTCCTACAACACAAATGTGTTTAATGATATAATCCAGTGCTTCAATTTTCTTGGGACTCTCCCTGCAGTTATGTCTCTCAAAAAGGAATTTAACAAGAGAATAAACAAACCACTCACCATCCCATTTCCAAACATAAAGATTCTTCCAGCCAGCCTGATCTTGCAACTCAGAGTTAAGACTGGGGACAAAATATTTGGCTTTAAGAAATAAGAGATGGCCTAAATCGATATTTTGGAAAAAGTTAGTTATTGAATAGTTATTGAAGGGAAGGCGGGGGGGAGGGGAAGGACAAACTCATGCCTTCTGCAATATTCTAATGGACACTGAATAGGGCTATTGCTTTCTTGCCAATACTCTGGGCCCACATTTCATCATACTAAAAAGCTATAATTAGTTCTCTTGCCCATGTCAATGGATATTAGATATAACACAAGGAAACTGAAATTTGCTTCTAGACTCAAAATCTGATGACACCTGAAAGTATAATTGTACTTTTTAATTGAACTGTTAGAATCACCTATGGGAGAAAAATGAGTTTTAGCTCCCAATAAAGCTCTGCTCTTACTTTATTAGAAATCCTATTAAGCAGTGAAACTGCCAATATGGCAGTTGTTATTGTTTTAACATGGCTCTACCTATCCCAGTTGGAATGTCTAATTCAAATGGCATGAGTTAGATTTTCAAATGATTGTGAATAGAGGTGATTACATTGATGGCATATTCCCTACTTCTTCAGGAAATATAAAATACATTCATGAAGGCCTTACTTGGATCAGGGTACAGAAAACAATTGGGAATCTCTAGGGTAACAAGTTTTCATGATGCAATTTTATTATTTTTTCATTCTCCAAATCTAATTTTCAGTACTGAATAATTGGGCCACAATTGTTCAGAGTTCGTTAAATCTGTCAGTAATAAAATTGAGTTTTAAGACTGAGGGCTGGGAAAGGTGACTTTAAATAGCAAAGTCAGACACATCAAAAGAACTTGTTATTCAAGAGTCCACCTATCTGCTGAAACTTCTGGGGAGCTAATACTTGAAAATTAATGCCTTTGTTTTTTCTAAGTTAAAAATGGGGGAAATGAAGTTATAATCTGCCATTTCCACCTTACATTTGGAATTTCTTTTTTTTTTTTTTTTTGAGACAGAGTCTTGTTTTGCCACCCAGGCTGGAATGCAATGGCGCAATCTTCACTCACTGCAACCTCTGCCTCCCAGGTTCAAGCCATTCTCCTGCCTCAGCCTCCCAAGTAGCTGGGACTACAGGCACGCGCCACCATGCCCAGCTAATTTTTGTATTTTCAGTAGAGACGGGGTTTCACTATGTTGTCCAGAGTGGTCTTGAACTCCTGACCTCAAGTGATCCGCCGGCCTCGGCCTCCCAGAGTGCTGGAATTACAGGTGTGAGCCACCACACCCGGCCACATTTGGAATTTCAAATGGGGCATATGACACAGACTTTATTCTTTTTTTGTTTATTATTTTCTTAAGGTAAATGTGGTTTTTTTTTTTTTTCTTTTTTCTTTTCTACAAACTATCTCCCGCCCTCCCCTGCCCCACCCACACACCCATTATCCAGTATACTGAATGGGAGTTGTAACTCTTTAGGAAGACAGCTAATTGATTTACAGTACTCTAAAACCAACCCTGAAAACTGATAATCTCATTCACTTACTATAACTTCAGTGCTGTTGTTGACAAAAAAGAAAAAGTTACCTTAAGGCTCAAGGGAAAGTAACTTATTAAATTGTGAATGCAGCATTGTTTACTCTCCCATCCATTGGAAACTAGCAAAATGCATTCTGGATCAATAATACAAACCTAACATTAGCAAAGATTTCTACTCTTCTTACACAGAGTTAGAACAATATTCATAAGCAATTATCTAAGGGAGCCTGAGAAACTATGATCCACATCACACAAAGATTTCATGTATTTCATGATCAAAAAGTGCTTTATCTTTGAGAAATATGTCAGGTTTAAAATGGAAATATACAATGTAAAGTCACTTGACATTTTTTTCAAGTGAAGTACAAAGTAGAAAAGGAGCAAAAAGATGGAGGCTCTGCTCTCTGAACAGGCCTTATGCATGTGACTTTTAGGGTATACGAAATTAAAATTGTTTAGAATTAAAAATAGTGGGACTTTACACCACTATATTCTAAAACCTGAGATTGGACATCAAAACAGTCAACTTTGTTATTCATCAGAGCAATTCTGATACTTCCTAAAAATAGAAGACAACTCAATTGAATTAACTCCAGGGTCAAAAACATTAATTTTCCCCAATCAAAAGGAGACCATCACTAACATTATACCAAGAGTGCTGCAGAAAGACACTCTCCGCAATTGAGTCATTTCTACATAAGCAAAAAAGTCACTTTTCTCCTTCCCTTTCTCACTGATCAAGGCCACACTATTTTCAAATGAATATCTACTGAGAGATCAGCTGTGCATTGGACAAAGTACCATAATTGGGTTAAAAATGAAAACAAAATTTACAGTGAAGAATACTTATGTGCATGGCTTACACACTCCAGCTTCTCAATTTCATCCACCTCAAGAGCAAGATAGATGCAAAGTCACCTTGTGTAGATTACATTCTACACCCCTGTAAAGCCAGTCAAGGTCACATTTAACAAAGCATCTTCAGCAACTACAGTGCCTGAAGTGTGCAGCCGTTTACAGACCACTCAATATGAGGGCATTATTATAACCAGCCTCTTTTGCCCACAACCCTGCATTTTCAGATGAGACAGGATAATTGTTTTGTTTTGAGAAAACTGAAGCTTGAATCTCTTAAAAGACCTGCAATTTACTGCAAAGTAATCCAGAGGAAACAAAGGAAGCAGGAGGTTAATGGCTGCCTGCACCAAAAGCCTCTCAATCATTTTGCAGTAAATAATTATGGAAAGTGATGTGACAAGTAGCCATGTGTGTATCACAGCTACAGTCATTTATACCACCTACATGCCTCCGATAGTTACATAGGGTGTTTGGGTTTTTGGTTTGGTTTTCACTTTGATTTTTGGTGCCATACAGATTTATATTTTGTTCTGTGCAGCATATGCACTGAAAAACTTGCTGCTGTTCCACTTGCTGAAATGACAGGTAGGGACAATAGAAACCAAAACAGAATAGTAGTTAAGAGTAGTAGGATTCTCTTCACAGATTTTTGTTTTTTTGATTCTGTTCCTAAATTTGGCTTTTCATCTTTGTAACTATAGTAGTTTTGAGAAATGAACCTTCCACCAACCTTCCACCACTAAAAGAAGTTTTAGTTTCCTACTTCTCAGGAATATGATTATTTTGATTAGCTGGGATATCTGCCAAAGTTAAAAAAAAGGCTCAAAAATCATTATGCAACAACTGAAAAACAAACAAACAAAAACGGTTGTTACCCATGTCTGTACAATGCCATTTTCCAACTGGAATTAACAAAGACCATTTCCTTTAATAAGCTATTAAAAATATTTACAAATTAATTTCTGTGTTTTACAGGTTTCTATTGTCCCTAGTGACTGGAATGAAGATCAGTGAAATGCTACAATTAGTCCACAGCCTTCTGCAATCTTCCTGCAGTGGGAAGAGAGGCCATGAACCATCTCTTGCAGGAGAAACAAACCTTAGAGATTGGTTAAGACTTAAAAACCCACCACTATGACATTACCACTTAATCTTACATAGGCAGGTCAAAATTTTAATATAAATTACTTTTGCCAACACATAGCTTATGCATTCTTTGCTCCTTGTTTGGAGGATTCTCAAATTGATATCTAAAGATTTACATATGATATATTACTGTTATATGGTCTAATGACTAAGAAAATTTCTCTGGTAACCAAAGCTGATGCCATATATGGTAGTGTTCTTGGCATATACTCTATATGCCTCAGACCACTTCCACATTCTTTCTATTCAGCTAATTATAGCTTAGTAGCCACTGGTGAAGGATTGTGAAGACCCTGTCATTTCTACAGAATAGAAAGGCAAGGCTAGTTACTGCAATTCAGCCAAACAAAAAGAAAAGAAAAAGAATAAACCAACCCCTTGAAAAGGAGAGGTACTGCACCTTTGCAAAATTGAACTGGCTCACTGCAGCTGAGCAATAGAACCACCACTGAAGCAAGAAAACAAGTTGGTCTATACAGGAATTGTACATGGTTTGAAAATGAAAAAGTTACAGCAATCAACTAATAGCTGCAACCTTAATTTTCACTGCTGCCTCAGAGTTTGAAACTTAAACAGTTTCTGCAAACCTAATGCTAGCTTCTCAGCTCCTTTACTAAAACTATTTAGGAATTTGTTCTCCGAAGCAAAGAAATAAACACTCAAAACACATAGGTAAATACAGCAGGACATTATTGAAAACAGCTGCCTTGTAGTACAAAATACAGTACAAGTATACGGATGTCATTAAAACATCAAAAATACTATTGCTCCCATACAATTTAGGAAACATTCTTTGCAACGGAGAAAAATTTAAAAGAAAAGCTTTAAAAAAATCTGTTTAAAAATTCTACTGTGGATGATGAGAGTAGAGAAATAGTCTGAAAAGGGCACCAATGTTTGTGGCTCTTCCTTTTTTTTTTTTTTTTTTTTTAAATCTAAGATCAACAATATTCTGCATCAGTCTATTTTTTTAAAAAAGCCTAATTTTATGTACACAATTATTTCCCGCCCTCTCAGCCACAAATACATGAAAACCTTTTTGTATATTACTCATTTCCCAATAAATACAAAAAGATTGTATAGATTGAATAATACCAAAATAAGATAATAAAAGGGATATGCAATAAATTAAAAAGGCAGCTCAAATAAGGGGCAGGCATGTAGTTAAAAAAAATACTAAGATTGTGGAGGTGGGGTTACTTGCCTCCTGGTTGAGAAGGTGTCACGTAAATCACCTGAAAACTTTGGAAAGAACGTTAGCTCCCATTCAATTCAAAGTTACCTAGGTCTATGACATTTCTAGGAATACCTTTTGATGGGGTGGGATTAACTTGATTAGTAAAAATCATTTCTACTGAAAATCCATTTAAAATATAGAAGAGGCGATCCTTGAAAACCCCAACTTTTATTCTTGAAAGACAGCTGGATAAACTGGCAAAAGCCAGTTTGTTGAAATTTCAAGATGGTATAAAAATGCTTCCAGGAGATAGTCAGCATATTCACGTTCACTTCAGTTCCATTCACAGATGGATTTCAGCTTCCACCGGGTGCACTGCTTGAATCACTCATCCATCATTTGCCAACTCTGATTGTGAGGTACTGATACAATGGATCAAGTTCTTAAAAATTTAAAAAGAATAAACGATGCTGGAATTCTGGACCTGAGGATCTTTAGTATTTGAACAAATCCACAGATTAAACTGAAGGTAAATTAAGACTTCAGTTTTGGTTATTCCTAACTTTTCCATGAGGATGTATATTCCATTAAAGCTCAGGCTTATAGCCACACTGTTCCTTTTGTAGGTAATCTTCAAGTTTTATGGTTTAAAATCCAGCCAACCAGTGGCTGTAACAGCCGAATTAGCCATAATGCACTGGCTCACACAGTGGAGATCTGGCTCTCATTCATACCAAAGCCATTTCTTGGTAATGACCTCCGTATTAAGAGATCAGGGGAAGAACTTTAGTGAGCAGCAACCAATCCACTCAAAGAGTCTGCCTTGTGCTTTATGCCTGACTTTTTCTTGTGCCTACCTCAGCAAACCCCAATGTGAAACTGCTTTTATCTTCGAAAATTTGTCGACTTTGAAACTATTTTAGTAATGGATTCTACTTCAAGCACTGATATCTGAATCCACTGGCATCCCGGAAAACAATTCTTCAAAGAAAAGACATTTGCCTTGGTCCAGGTTCCATGCAAAACCATTTTTTTTTAAAAAAAAAAATGGATCCAATTTGGTTCTGTATTCTTAGATGGCTTCTGGAATTCTTATCTTTAACCTGTTCACGATTATCCGAAGTTGCATTTCTTTTCGTGAACCTGAACCCTCAAAACTGGGTAACTGTAAAGGCCTCTCAAGGATTCCATGAAGACCTAGATTCAAAATGCTGATTTCAATGGATGTGAAGGGATAGACACTGCAACAATGAGGCCTAGAGAGATCTTTTATTCCAGATTACCCAGGTACAACCTAAATGCAACTGTTATCAACGGTCTGGGTAACTTGGACGTGTTTCTTGCCCCAGATGCGCAAGGATCTATTTCCTTCAGGGATTATCCTGATGGGTTTAGGAACCTCAGCTGAGAAACAACAGAAGCTGAGAGTATTTTATGCAGGTGAAGAGATGCTGTTGTCCTCTCTTTGCAGGTTGCTGTCAGTTCCTTGGAACTTGACTGCTTTTCTCAAGTTGTCCGTCACTGTTCTGATTATTTCTCTTAACTATATTATGTTTTGTTTTTTTCCCTCTGCGGCCTCCCTTGCTCCCTCTCCACTACTCACTGGGGATGAGCAGGAAGAGGAATTCTCTAGCCAAGGAGATGGTGGTGGGGTGGAGGAGGCCTGAAGGGGAAGCTGCCTGTTTCAATCCTCATCCACCTCCTCGCCCTCTGACTCTTCACCGCCGCCGCTGCCCCCACCACGGCGCTCATAAAGCTTATCCCTCTGTCGTTCCTGGATTTCTTTCATCTCATCCGCATACCGGCAAAAGGCGCCTCCGAACTTGCCCCAGGCTTTGAAGGGCACGGTGATGGCATTGCGGTAGGACGGCTTCACCTCGCTCACTCGCAGAAACACCCCGTATTTGTTGCAGCCCACATCGAAGAAGAAGCGCTTGGAGTCCACCGTGATGGAGGTGCCCTCCGGGAGCTCTCCATACAGGCCGCCCCCTGGGCCTCCGGCGCCGCCTCCCGGGCCGCCTGCCAGCTCGTCGTCCTCGCCTCCGTAGTCGTCGATGAGCTTGGCCAGCGCGTCGCGGAACTCGATGAGGCCCTGCGCAGGCAGCGCGATGGTCTGGCCGCTCTGCAGGCCGCCGGGCCCGGGACCCGAGCCGAAGCCGCCACCGCCGCGGTTGACCGTTTGGCGGATGCGCAGGAAGCGGCCGCGCTGGTTCTCCTTGAGGTCCAGATAGTACTTGCGGTTCTCACGCACCAGGAACTCGCTCTTGAGCGCGCGCCGCGGCCCGCCGCCCTCCTCGGCACCCGCCGCCAGCTGCTCAGGGCTGCTAGGGCCCAGCTGCGCGTAGTGCTCGATGAAGTCGCCCAGAGAGTCACGGAACTCGGCAGCCACCGCCATGGACAGCGTCAGGCGGCTCTTGGAACCGCCCGCGCCCACCTCGGCGATCTTGAGGAAGCGGCCCTTGGCATTCTGCTTCACATCTAAGTAGAAGCGTTTGTTCTGGATGTCCAGCCGCTTTGAGGCCAGCTCCTGCGTCTCCTGTTCGCCGCCGCCGCGAGACGCGGGCTGGAAACCGCCCGGCCCACCGCCGCCGCCGCGCTCGCTGCCGCTGTCGCCGTCCGCCATCTTCTCGGCCGCCGCCTCGCCGCCACCGCCCGCCGCGCTCGCGCCCCCGCCCTCCGCCCTGCGGCTCGCGCTCCGGGGCCCCCCAGCCTCGCCCGCCCGGCTCGCTCACGCGCTCCCGCCGCTCATCGCCGGCCGCCGCCGCCCCCCATCGCCTCCGCGCCCCGCCCCCGCGACTTCCTTGCAGTCAGCCACTTCCGGCGCGCGACTTCCCGTGAAGTCACTCCGCCCCGCCCACCGCGGCCTCGCGGCCGGAAGCGCCGCGGCGGCTTGGCGCAGAGGGATGACGTAAGGGACCGCGCAGGGCGGGAGGCGAGCTGGGAGTCGGGGAGTGCTGCTGCTCGCTGGCCCTTCCTGGGCACTTGCCAGCGTTAGCGTGACTCAGGCTCCCGCTGCATCTGTCTACGCGCCTCTTCTCATGACACTTTTATTTTAGACTCCAGTGTCTTTCATGTCCCTCCTCCTTGTTTTCGTGGCGTTAGCTGAGTATACTCTGGCTCCAGCCTTGGTTGTGGGCTGGGAACAGAATTCCAGTCTACACAGTATGGCGACCGGTGTGAAGGAGATCCTTTGGAGCACTCAGAAGTGGGTTCTGACCGGCCTGTGGGGTTCACCATAGAAGGCATGAGCTGACTCTGAAGGGCAAGCTGCAGTTGGCCTGGCAACTCTGAAGCGCCTCCCAGCATAGGAGACGGCAGTGCAGAGGCACTCAGGGCCTGACACTGGGAACTCAGAGCAGCTGGGGGTGTATATGCCTGAAGAATGATTGTAGATGACACGGGAAGGTGGATTAGATCAAGGAAAGCCATCTGCAATGCGGGAGAGTTAGTGCCTACCCCAGAGTCTGGAGCCACCATATGTGATCAGATTCACATTTTGGAAAGATCACTATGGGAACAATATAGAAGATGGTTTAGAATGAGGTGAAATTTGGGATCCAGAGATCAGTTAAGAAGCTCTTGCTGTCCCCACACTTATGAGCCATATTAAAGTGGTTAAGGGAATTGACTGCCAATCTTTAGTTTCTTTATCAATAAAATGTGAGTAATTCCTATGAGGCCTTTTTGTTGTAAGCATTGAAGTGTAACAAGAGGCAGTATTGGAATAGTGCTAAAAAGTGTAGGCTCTGCAGTTGCACTAGGTTTGAATCTGTGACCTTGACCAGTTACCAATTTTTCAAGCCAAAATGTTCTCATCCTTAAATGGTTTTTTTTTCCTCTTTCTTTTTTTTTTTTTTTTTTTTTTTTTTTT